GCTTGCATGTAGGACTTGGTCATCTAGGATCCGTTGTTTGTGCTGTTGCTTGTCGCCCGCTGTTTTGTCCTACAAAGAAAAAAACAGAAAGAAAACAAGAAAAACAATAATTCGTTTTTTAATCTTCTTCCTTACAAGACTCCCCCTGTTCAAAACCTCTTGCGTACAAGGCCGCCCACGTGGATGTGAGCGGCGGCTGCCCCCACCCCCGTGTGTCATATCGACCCACTTGCACACAGCCAAAAGGCAAAGAGGCAAAGAAAAGAGGTTCCAAAAGGCCGAACAACGGGAAACAACCAACCAGGATGCCCCTCGTTTGTTATCCTCTTCTCCCTCTCTGCCTACGGTTTACCGGGCAGCTCTGTTTGACGATATATATACGTACATACACACACACACACACACACACACACACACACATATATATATATATATATATCGTCACAAACAGAACTGCCCGGTAAACCGTAGGCAGAGAGAGAGAAGAGGACAACAAACGAGGGGCTGTGACATATATATATATATATATATCGGTGAAACTCCGACGAAACAGTTTGTCAGAGCCCCTCGTTTGTTGTCCTCTTCTCTCTCTCTGCCTACGGTTTACCGGGCAGTTCTGTTTGTGACGATATATATATATACGTATGTTTTCGCGCTCTCCGGAATAGTGGATAAGTCAGTGAACGAAACCCCCCCAAAAAAAAAAGATAAGTGAACTGGATCGGTAGAGGAAGAGGGGAACTCCTTTTCTTTTTTTCTTTAGAAGACGACGGGAATAACAGGGAAGAAGAGGAGAGGAGCCAAGAAATGCGGCGGGCACTGATGGGAGAGAGACTGACCCCTACTTTTTTTAAGCACCCACTCACCCAACAACCCCCAACCACCCAACTACCCAGCCACCCACCTTGTTGCGATGGGAGTCTATTGCTTCTGGATAGCCAAGGGAAATCACCACCCCATCATCGAACTCGCTCCTCCCCCAAAACCCACCGTGATCTTCGACCAGCTTGCGGATACGCGCGCGCAGCACTCCAGACACTTGGCCAATGCCACGTGGCATCGCAAAGCACATCGGAGATCCATCCGGACGGGTGAACAACGACCTCGCCCTCACCATCCAGTCCGCATCTGGTCGATCCCCACTGCCACTTGCTCCCTTCAAACCACCTCCATTCCCCCTTTCTCTCCTCCCACCTCTTCCTTGCCTCCCATCTCCTCCTCCCTTTCGACTTTCCATCTTCTTCTTCCTCTCCTTCTTCTTCTTCTTCTTCTTCTCTTGTTCTAGTGCTGCTGCCACTGATGATGATGATGATGACGATGATGATGATGATGAACTCTTCTTCTTCTTCTACTAATGCTGCTGCTGCTGCTGCTGCTGCTGCTGATTAATGATGATGATGATGATGACGGCAATGTTGATGATGATGATGATAATGATGCTTTCGTCTGAACGCCGCCTCCATGCAGATATCTTTTCCAAGTTCTCTGCGTCTTCTGCTAGTACGCAAGGAGGGAAATGACAGACTTCTGCCTGTCATTGGAGGCAATGGAGGGGGTTAGGCCACGTCATCCTTCACTTTGACCACCAAGTGACTGCCTTCCGACACGTGTCAGCCGCAGAGCGGCTGTTCGAATCTGACTAGCAATCTCTCCATGATCGGGGACTCGTTACAGAGCCGTCCTGACCTATCAACGGTACCCCCGATCGGCCGATTCGCCGCTCGATCGGTACGAGATCCACGGTAGATCGAGCCCCCAAATAGATCTTTCGACGCTCGATCGATACCAGATCCACGGTAGATCGAGCCCTAAAATAGATCCACGTTAGATGCGCACACAACCAGCAGACCAACCGCAGGGCACAGATCAATCAGCGGCGCGGCGGCGGCGGTAATCGAGAAATCCGGCGGGCAAGATTACAAGACCACAGAGTTAAAAAATGCCTCGCTCCACTACTCTCCACGTGCACAAAAGACAAAAAATGTGGCAATGAATCTTTCCATGTTGTAGCGGAGAATTCAGTCTTATTTTGCACAATTGGAGAGTAGTGGAGCGAGGCCTAAAGTGGAGCAGATCTGACGAATAGCACATGTTCCCCACGCTTAGCTATCAGCAGAACACTGACCTGGCAGCAGAACGATGAGCTGGCACTAGAATGCTGACCTGGCAGCAGAACAGGCCTCGACGGGAAGAAGAAGCTGTGCATCTTGCGCTTTTTCATCCCTGTCCTTTATGATTGTATACAAGCTAAATTTCCGGTTCCATACAGCCAAAATCAGTCAGGGTGCTTTGCGTTTGGGGAAGTCGGTGGTTCTCTTGCGTAATTGCCCTCCTGCTTGTACTGCGTTTTCCATACTTGCTGCTTGCCACGTGGCGCCATGCCCCCTCCTGGCTCCTTCCGCGCTTCCCGTTGGGTCGGGCCCAACGGTCATGAATTAATTAATGGAATTTTTTTTTTTTGGATTGGATAAGCACATAAACGAAGCAATGAAAAGAAATAACAATATTCAAGTCAAGGTGACTGTAGGCACTACAACTTTCCCAGACGAATCTGACCGAAAAGCGGTCCAGTCTCCTCCTTGATTCTTTGTAGGCCCAAAAAGAGGGCCACTCTGGAAGTAAGCACTCTTGAGCAAGTGGCCCACCTCAGTTGGTCAGGCACACAAGTAGGTCGTGGGTTCAATCCCCACGGACCCCCTGGGGCAGGGCTTGGTCCCCCTGGCAGGCATTGGTAGGGTACCTGACACCCGCAGCCTATGTAGGCCGCCGGCAATTCGGCCGCAGCCGTGGCCAACGAGGCCCTGTCCACGGCCTGTTTTTTTAATATTTTTTTTATACCCCTAAAAATATGTAAAAAAAAATACAAAAAATATAGGGTTGTAGGGTTTGGAAAACCCTACAATACTATATTTTTTTATTTTGAAAATCCGACTTCGTTTAAGATTTTTAAAAAATGAAAAACGAAAATCGATTTAAACAAATTATTTAAAATAAATAAATAAATAAATAAAAAGAAAAGCAGGAAATTTCTTTTGTCATTTTTTATCATGAGGGACATGGTCGCTGAGTTGTCCTGTATTTTTGGAGAAATGTTTTTGTCGGGAAATTGGGTGTTTAAAAAAAAATAAGTTACAAAAATTGAAAACAAATAAAGAAAAAAAGGGGTCAGGCTGGGGTTGGTGTGTGTGTGTGTGTGTCCTCTTGTGTGTGTGTGTGTGTGTGTGTGT